TTAATATTCAAAATCTTGACAGCCAAAATCTCAATAGTCAAAATCCCGACAGTCAATATCCGAACAGTCAATATCTTGTTATTTAGAACATTGAACTATCAGTATCTCAAAAGATCAAAATCTTAAAAATCTTCAACGCAAATGAAGCTGTGATCTGATTGTACATATTTAAGTAGATATTCAACAAACTGGGCGCAGATTCGAAAATTGTGACTGTGTAATGTAAATACTATTATTCCATTTTTCACTTATTTAAATTTAAAATCTTCTCAGTAAAGAAGACCTAAAACTGAAAGTTTTGGGTAGATATTTTCCTTATTTGACGAATAGTAAATTGTTAAAACATTAAAATTAATCAAAAAGAAAAAAATTTTTTATTAGGTTTTTTAGATAGTATAGTGAACATTAAAGAAAAAACAGAAAAATATACACAAGCATTTAATTTTATAAATATCGTGATGCTTGAGCTTTTAAAGCAAATAATTGATACCTTGATATAAACATAATAAATGCAATACATCTTTTAACATTTAATCAAACTATAATGAATACTATTTCGTTTTATATTCACCTAAAAATTTTCAGCAAAAATGACCCAAAACCAATGGATTTTGGGTAGATGTCTTTCTATAATGTAGGTTATAGCTTTTTTCAAAAATACCTACGCTACTTTCAGTGCAAAATAGCAATTGCAGAATTACTATATATTGACTATTAAAAATTTTTTAAAAAAAAAATTATTTGTTTCACAAAGCAATTTTCGCTAGCGATTCCATAAGTTGATTCTGTTACTACTGCAACAAAAATTTAATTGGTAAAATCATTAAAAAGTGAAGCCAGTGAAACTGAAATTGAAACTTCGGCAACTGGTTGAATAAAAAAATCCTATTGGGTTTTTGCAAAGATTATGAAAAATAGAGAGTACGCTCAAGCATTTAATTCTATAAATATCGTCATTGATTGTGATGCTTGAGCGTTACTATGATCATTATTTATTTAATTGATTGAGATGCTTGTGAACACCCTCAATCAGCGTTAACTCTATGAAAAAAAGGATGGTCTGCACCTCCAGATTTTTTTAGTGAAGTGGCAATTCACTTGATTAGTTTTTTTTTCGATTCCTGACTATTTAAAATTTTAATTGATTTAGGTGTTTAAATTGATCTCATAATCTTGTCATAAGTGCATATTTAGAGTAAGTTAATTCAAATCTTCACGTTTGGGGCAATGTTATCCAAAAAGTTGGCCATAATTCTGTTTTTACGGAATCGAATAAACTTCTGGAGTGTTCATGTTTTACATCAATAATCTAACTGTTATCAACGTTGTGGCAGATAATAAAAATATGAGAAATAACATATTGCAATCAATATTAATGGTGTTATTACCATTCATGACTTTAGAGTAACAAGATGTGTATCTGGAAATAATTCGTATAGAGAATCTTCACAAGAATTACAAATATCATGGCTGATGTTGTTATTAATCCAAGTGAGAATATTGTTGATATGACAAGTTATGTACTGTATGTCTTCCAAATACAATTGCACTTATAATAATAAGAACATAAGAATATTAATCACATGAAATAGCGATTGCTTAAAAAAATTTGAAACTGTAAAAGTAGCAATGTTTTAACAAACTAAGTTCTTTGATTAAGTGAAAACTACTAATTGATATTTAATAAATTGGCTTTAAATTTTCTTTATCGTGTTGTTAAAACTTCTTTAGTTACAAAATACAATAATTCTAAACTACTGGTGCAAAATAATCTTTGTAACAAAAATTCGTTGACGGTTCAACTGTTGAAAATAAAACAAAAAATTCTTCTGATATTGTAGACCTGATCTGATCATAATAACTATAACTATAACGTATTGTCTTTTCTAAAGTCTCTCGTATGAAATATATGTTTGGATATAAAATTTATAATTGATTAAGGTAGAATTCCTTTAACCTTACTAACCGATTTTGAAAAAATTATTTATCAATTTAATTAGATCGTTGCAAAAAAAAAATTTATTAACGTTTGATATATATTTAAATCACAAAAAAATTTTTTTATATTATGCATTGCTACAATTAATTTTTTTTTTTTTTGTTAACCTGAAATTTCTTATAGAGACAAGCAAATGATGACAGCAATAAAAGCAAATAAAATTGAATCGTTTTAAAAAACCAATTCAATTTACCTAACATATGCAATAGCAATTATATGGAAAGATTGTGCACAATTCTATCTAAGAATTCTACTAATGAACAATTATTCTGATCATTCATAATGGACATAATTCTTCTCTCTCTTTCGACTAAATTTATTTTTTGCTTGGGACGGGACTCACCATGGAAAATACGATCAATCTGATCCTTAACAACCTGTTGTTCTTTTTGCATTTCTAGAATAGACACCAACATGAGAACCACCAACTAATGTCGCCCAACGATTGTGCCAACCTTCAACGGCATTTTGAGTTCTAGGAATACCTAGACCCAAAGACTCATATACTGACCATAATTCAGGTGGGAAAAGAGGTGCAATATGAATTTTCTGACCACTTCTCAATTTCTATTTAACTGTACCAAGAACATATGTCTCCTTAAACTATAAGACCAACTTTTTTGCCTCTTTATACATTTCTGGTTTTAGCATATTAAACGCACTTGGAATCTCCTGAGGAGGTAGAAAAGCTAAAGCAAATAGATATTTTATTTTAATACTGAACCGTGCATTAGTTCCATATAGACCTGCATTGCATTACATAAGATTATTAAAATTTTCTTAATTAGGGTATGAAACACAGATATTTGTAAATCATATAAAACTAAAATTTTTTTTTCAAATTAATTTAATAAAAAAAAATTTTATAACGTTAGTATGCAAGTAAAAGCTAAACTTACTTGCTAATCCATAACGTTGTATTCTTTTTCATCCATTTTGTCCTAGATGGAAAAAGCATGTTTTATTAGCGACTCCAGGGAAGGCATATTGTGATACATTAATCGCTGCTAACTCAAAATCGGTAATGATCTTTGGAGGATTTAAATCAATTTCATTCTCATCAGCGAAGTCAACTAAACTCTTAAATAACCAGTCATACTGCTCCTCAGATTTATGCGACATTAACGAATAGACAAGGGGAAGAATTCAGGAATTATCTGTGGTACTGATGGGTGCGTGGATGGTATATAATTGGCAGAATATTGTAGATACAGTTCCAAAAGTGCCATCCATTATCCAAAATGGGGCACAAGGTAAGTGTTGAATATTTTCGACTGTAGTAAATATGAGAATTCGACTTCGACCAACTAATTGGTCATTAATCAAGAAATGATTACCATTTAGAGTAATTTGAAGAGACTGTGGTATACTAAATTCTGTGATATTTTGTGGTTGTGGTGGTAACCCTGTATTTCTAACACAATGAATTTTTTTACGCCAAGCATTTATTGAAGGAAGGTAAGATCCAATTTTCTCAGGTGTGCTAATAACAGCATCTTGGATTATCTTAGCAGGCTTATCTTTTGTTACCCGAGCTTGCTGCTTAACTTGGTGAACAACTTTGGCAACTTCAGCATCTTGTGCTTCGGGTGCGTGTTTGTGGTTGTTGGTGAAGTGTACAAGGTAATGCTTATTGTCAATTAAATGTGTGACTGCCCAACCCTTGCACCCACTGGATTTATTTTTGTCACAACACCAATAGTAAGTGTTTTTACGATTAGACTCCTTCGTCATTAGGTATCCATGAACATTAAGTTTTTCACCCCCTTTTTGTGAAGGTACAGTCTCACAGATTTCATTCATTCTTACAATAAGATTTGTATCAAAAAAAAACAAAAAATTTAATAGGAAAAGATTTTTATAATCAAGGTTTAATGATATGAATTGGAAATTTTATGGCCAAAAATTGAGGTTTTACGATTCAAAAAAAGTATTTATAAGTAACTTTTTTGATTAATTATGGCATTATTACGTAAAAGTTTATTTTTATTGTCAAAATACTAATGATCAAATTAATATATTTAAAATTTAAAATTGAGTCATGATATTACATCACATTTCACGCTTCACTTATTTCATTCATCCTAACTTAGCAAATGGACATAAAGATAATTATTAGCCGATGTATAATAAAACATAATCTTTATTTTTATATTTCTAGAATCGTGTTGTTTTGAAAGTTTGTAATTCTAATAGACAGTATTATTTTGGTTATACTAGAAAGATAACATAGGCTAATCAAGGACAAAAAAAATGGTTAAGTGGTATTTGAGTTGAGTTATGTATAAGTGGCAATTCGAATGGGAAATATAATCTTAAGATATATAATCTTGAGTTCGATTATTAGCATAGTAGGCATATAATGAATAAAAACAAATGTTTGGGTGGCTTTTAAAATTTGCTAAGGTGCTTTAATATCTTCGTATTTTTTTTGTTTTTTTTTTTTATTTTTAACTTTTTATTTTTTTTTATTTGATCGTGATGATGCTCAAGCATCACAATTATGACGATATTTATAGAATTAAATAATTGAGCATGTTTTTTGATATTCGCTTTATGATCAATCATTAAAGTTTAACTTTAGTTATGTCAGCTCCTTTTAATGATTTTAACAATTTAAATTTCTTTATTATCCGTCAAATGTGAAAAAAACACCTACCCAAACCTTTCAGTTTTAGGTCTTTCTTTACTGAGAAGATTTTAAATTTAAATAAGTGAAAAATGGAGTAATAGTATTCATTATGGTTTGGTTAAATATTAAAAATTGTTGTATTTATTACGCTTATATTAATGTATCGATTATTTGTTTAAAAGTTTCGAACATTAAAAATAAAGTTGCTATCTTTTTAGACTGGTTAGAAATATATTGAGAATTAATTGTTATGTTTGATATATAAAAAAATGTAAAAGTTATGTTTGAGCAACCTTTATCAATGGTAAATTTTTGAAGAAAAAAGGTGGGTTGTGTCTCAAATTAAAATTTACTTCAAGCATTAAGTGAGGTGCTTGAGAACACCCTATATCAATATTTTTTACCCTCACTCTAATATAATAATTTTTCAGAACAATTTAATTATAATTTATTCATTGTAAGAATTAGATATTATGTTGAAAGTAGTGTGTAGGTCTATATAGAATGCTATTATATTTATTAACTGTTATTTGAGTAGTAATGGATTGGTTTGTCCTAATCAGTTTCGGTTTTGATTTTTTTTCACATTAATATTATATAGTATTAAAGTTTAAAAATATTACCTGCATTCTAAGTATGACCAACTATGGTTAATTTTTTGTTATATGTATGAATTTAAATAATAATTATTAACCGTTTAAAGGTATTTACATTACAGTCGCAATTTTTTAATCTGTGCCTGGTTTGTTCAATATCTACTTAAACATATTCAATTAGACCGCAGCTTTATTTGCGTAGAAGATTTTTAAGATTTTAGTTCAATATTCTAAATAACAAGATATTGGCTGTCGGGATAATGACTGTTGG